TTTTTTTTTTTTTTTTTTTTTTTTTTTGGAATTCCCAATATAATTATGTAAATTAAAACTTTAGCCGGATACAATCGATGTCATGCCATACTCAGCTTGAAAAGTATCTGCTGGTACTGAAGTAGATGTTAATATGTCTAAATTTTCGTTTCAGAAAAAAGTAGTTAGAGTGAATAATTGACTTAAAGAGCATTACGATACGCTGCCAAGCGAATGATTGAATGTGACAAAAGAATTCACTTGGCTTTTTTACCTGTCGAAAAAAAGGTTTGCATCTCAAATATAAATGACAGTTACCAAGTTGTCCATCCATATTGAAGTACAACTCAATCATAATTTACTTAACTAGCTAGACAGATACAGTGTGTTCATTCCATTATCCCTTCGTCTAGTAGGCAATGGAAWTTAAACATGGTAAATCCAGCCTATATATCCAAATCAAATGGCAAAGTGTAACCGCAACTAATAGAAGACGAAATACATCGACTGCAGTTTAAAACACAGAATCATGAAAATTTCGAGAAAACTCTACTATATATTGCACTCAGTGCTTTTTCTTAATTGGAATACTTCCTACAAAAAWAWAAATAAAAAATAAAAAAAATTGATTGACTTGCAACAGCTCCCAGCATCTTTAAAGAGCTTCAGTTGAGATCAACGCAAATTGAACTATAGTCACGTAAAATTACACTCCCACAGAACGTTGGGATAGAACTACTTAATTACTGGTTCAGTTACGATCCCTGCAAATGTAGCCACTCGAAGTATTTGTAATAACCAAGTGCTTCAACGTTATCTACGAATACATTTAATGAAGACAATTCAATAGAGAAAGAGCCSCTCAGAGCCAGGGCCTCCTTCGGACTTTTAAACGGAGAACAATTATTTTAACTGGACCTGAAGCATTTAATAATTTACGGGTGCCCGTTATTCTCGAATTCGAGAAATGGTGTGTRAAGTAGTTTAGACACAGCATCACGTATTTCCCTGTTTCGTATGCAGTAAATCAAAGGGTTCAAAATACCATTGAGCATCARAAGCGTTGGAGTGATTGTCAATAAGACACACAAGCTTTCGTTCAATTGCTGCTTCACAGCCCGGACAGCTATCAGTGATCCAATGAATGGAACATAGCAAAATACAAAGGGTAGAATCACATAGTACATAGTCTTGACTGATCTTCTGTATCTTGGGATGTGTATTCCATGTTGTGAGGAATGCTGTTGCGCGGCTATTTGTTCTGAGTGTTTGTTGATGGCTTGAGAAACCTTGAAAAAGAAATACGCATTCAGTGCAAGAAGAACGATGGATTCCATAACTTCTAAAATTATTCTGTGGTAATGATCGATAAAAAGTCTGCAGACRAGAAAACCAATACTTGTGATCCAAATAATAGAAAAAACAATGGCGTAACGTCGAGTTGTTACRAGCTCTTGGTACCGAAGATGAAGATGTATAGCCAAGAAGCGATCGGCTGAAATGGCTGTCAAAGTGCCAAAAGACACGAATGCTTGMAGCAAAAAACTGTTATAAAAAATCGTACCAAAGATATGATCCAGATTCTCTTTACACCTCAGCTTAGCGTAAAGCCAAACGCAGAAGACCGGTTGGGAAAAGATAGCAATGCCAAAGTCTGACACAGATAAACCAAGGACGAGGATATTCGCTGGGGTTCGCAAAGATGTTGTCTTGACAAAAGCCATAATGACCAACAAGTTCAGAAGTATAGCCACAAAAGCGACTGTAGAATTTATAATCAACATCGAAAGAAGAAAGTTTTTGTAATGCCTGTTGAAATGTGCCAGGCAATCATCATAAGCTGGATCATCTTGCCATCGATCGGTAACGTTTGCCATCCAAAAACTGCAATTTTCGTAAGTGCTCTTCTGGAGATCCAGACATGTATAGTTGCTGTTAAGATTTTTCATGTCTTTAAGTTAACGGATCTAAATGAGTCAACGCGCGATCGAAACGAGCTCTTTTATATATATATATATATATATATATATAGAAATGAAAATAGTCCACGTTAATGGGCCTTTTTTGAGCAATGGACTGATAACTGCGGATACAGCAAATGACAGTGGAAAGTCACTGGATTCAGTCCGCCTTAAATGAACCTTGGCGAATCTTCGTGTTCACGGTGTTGACACAGGTGGTCTAACAATCGGTAAATGAATCCACAGACAATGTCCCAAAGACTTCTTACCATGGCTGACGTCTAATCTGCAAGCCAAATGAGCAATCTAGCGGCAATTACTGAATTTTAAAAAAGACAAATTAATTTCCCAGTCCGGTGAATTTCAAACTTTTTTGTCTTTTGAAAGATAGTTTTGTGATCAATCATTAAACCGTTTGCAGGCCCGTTTGATCAAATCATAAATCTGTCCAAAACCTTTCAAAGGAGCGCAGGACCATTAATAATGAATTAATCATATAGTATTATGTCTGTCTGTTATCATAAAATCTCCATTTCATGCGGGCTTGAGTTTCTTTCTAAAATGGCAAGTTTAAAGAAATGCTGCATTTAGTACACTGAAATATAACAATTTAAAAAATACCCAATATAGCGCAACAAAGGATTATTTTTTCAAAAGGTAGTCACCTTTCTCGGCTATAATCAGTTTTTRACTATCCCCTAATGGTTTTTTATGTACTGTTTAATAAACGAACAGGAKTGTTTTATCGGGTATATAACACAAGGCGCAGCCGAGTGGTTTTAGACCCGATAAAAYACGATCTGCGAGTTTATTAAACGGCTTAAGAAACTCCTGATGTATGTTCTCATACTGTACCGAATTCTTTACGAAATGAACCAAGTTTGATAGAGAAAATCCAAGTTAAAGTTTATGCAAATGAAGACGAATCTATATCAGATATAAAACCTCCTTCATGGTCATGATTTCTATTGTGTTTCCTTCATGAATTATTAATGAGTTTTTGAATATATTTATATTTATTATTATTATTATTATTATTATTATTATTATTATCATCATCATTATGATCAGCTTTTTGTATTCCTAAACTCGAGCATTAGAATTAGTTTAATATAATAATAATCTAGATTATATAGTTTATTAGGACTTTCCTTTGATTCGAGGATTTTTCTTCGACTTCTTCGCCGATTTTCCTCCGCAAAGCCGAACAGCCTAAATTCCAATTCAATTAAACYGTAAGTTAGCCGTGCGTTTACTTTGACGAGCTCAGAAGTTGTATAATGCCTTGTGATAATAWTGTAGGCTTTAGGCCCCGTCCACACGTATCCGGAAATTTTTGTATCCGCAAATTATTTTTCGCGGATACGAAAATGCTTGCGTCCACACGCAACGTATTCGAATCGTTTTCACCGTCTACACGTGTCCGTTTTCGTGAAATTTGCGGATATGGACACAAAAAGTTTCGGATACGTGTGGAYGTGGCCTTTATTGKAGGCCATYTTAAAACACGTGTCATTATTTTAAGAATAAGATTCTTTGTTTGAGGTGTATCCATATTCACGCGCATGTGTCTTCTCACGCCCGACCCGTGTAATAAAGAAATGATGTTCTAGAAAACTACATGTGGTCTGAATAATTAGAAAACATCCAGTTGATCTGGAATAATGAAATTGAAATGACGTCACGGCAAAACTGATGTGTCACGAAGACTGTGAAAACTGCTGACCAGTAGAAGAAAAAAAACATTGCAATACAAATATTTAACTTATTAGTTGTGTTACTGTTATCAAGCGCTTATTAGTATATGTAATAGGACTCCATGCTGTCCAATTAAGAAATAATTTGACGAGAAAAATTCCGAGGACTTCCAAAATTGGATGAGGCAGTAGGCTGAGTCCAATTTGGCAGTCAGAGGAATTTTTCGAGTCTAATTACTTCTTGATTGGGGAGCATGAAATCCCATTACCTATTAATTATATAGCTGCCTAATTAATCCCATATCAACAAGACCTGTCCAATTAAGAAAATAATTGGACAGTTACCTATATGGGATTAATGAGAAGCTGTATAATTAAACACGTTATTCTTTTTGATTATCCATAATTTCAAGGGGATAAGTGTCACCTCAGGTTTGCAAGTGTTCTCGATTCTGATTGGCTAACATTTTCTCTCGGATTAGATAGATACTCCGATTTGGRAATGGTATATTCTGCCAAAAGAGCAGCGAAACTTTAGCGTGTGTTTGTGTGACAATATATAAAATAAAAATCTGACCGCGAAGATGATGATTGTTGTAATCGTATTCTCTTCTGAGGGGTAGCCATTAAGAAAAAAAAAAAACATATAGGCAGTGATATATGTTCTGGAATGGGAAAACATGAATTAGGCCTATTGACGTTTCGATATGGTTTCTTTTCGTCCTCAATAGCTTTTTATTTTT